TGTTCGCACAAATGACGACGCTCAGAATTGAAAGTGTAGATGGAGACGAAGTCGCCGATGTAAGAAGCAAAGAAGTGAAGAAAACGATAATCCGAGATATCAAAGGTAGTCGGATCCCCAGAATCGACACCACAGAGAAAACGAGCTGGTCTTGTGGATGAGCAGAGAAAAAAAAAAACCTTTAATATTGCACAGCATGTTAAAAATGCTCTTCAGGACCAGAGTTGAAGGAACGAAGTCCTTTGCGCTCATGAAACAAAAATCCACCTCCATCAAAATGATGGAAGCGTGGAGGACGGGAAAGGAACAGCTCATGACCCAAGTGCACCTCCTCATCTGTCAAACTTAGCGATGGTGGAGCATCATTAGGGAATATACAAAGCCTCGGCTGATGTCTGTGTCTTGGATATTTCACTGAGTGCAAAGTATTTTCCCACATTATTAAAGAATGATGGTTTTGTTTGGCCATTTTTTGTCCAATTATAGAAATATTTATCTGTATAAATGTCCAACTACAGCTGGTTTAATACATGCAACAAACAGGTGTTATCCTTTAATTCTATTATTCTGTGGCCTTTCTTTCAGTCCCTTGTATCTCTGCCTCCCTCTACCTGGAGCTCCCCCTGCCTCCCCTGAGTGAGGCTGGGTTAGGGCTGTGCCCAGGGCGGGAGGCTGTATTAATAAGACATACTGCCATGGAAAGGTATAGATCAGAGGAGAAAACAGCGCCCTGGGCTAATGCACAGCGAGTGAAGGTAGAGGTGAAGGGAAGAGAGAGAGCGAGAGAGAGAGCTAGAAAGAGATATATCGAAGGGAAGACATAATGCCTAGGGTACTGTGAAAGAATAGATGGCTCCGTGTCTTTGAAAGAGCAGAAAACAAAGAGTTGGAGAGGTGAAGGAGGGATGATAAGAGCTAAAATGATGAACTCAGCAGGAGGGCTTATAGGAGGACAGTGATGGGAAGGATTTGAGAGATCTGTGGTATATCTGCGGTGTCTTGAGGCATGTGGTTAAAGGAGAAGAAGATCAGTAATACGCAGAGAAACAAGGATGAAAAAGGCGCCTTTAAAGAGTTGCGGGAGTTTAACCCGAAGCCGACGATGAAAACAAAGTGAATCACGAAGCAAAATAAAGTCTGGTCCGTCGGCGTGACCGCTGATTTATCGCTGCATTGTTTCCAACTCATTCAAAGCCCATCTTCTGCAATTACCATTTCATATATAAAAGTAGACCATTCATCAGGATGCCAAACGGAGTCAAACTAAAATAATGACTCGTGGTGGAAAAAAAAGAAAAAACAAAAACGGCATCCTTTTATTTATCACCATGATTTCCATGAAGGAGTCTGTTTTATATCCTTGTTAGTATGCCAATGGTTTTTAACAAGGAGACAAAGGCTGTTGAGGGGGCGTTTGGCTATGCCAATCTGAAAATGTCTGAAACTGCTCTCCCAAGCACGTTCTGAATTAAAGCCATTGTGATGGTAATTTTGTCACCTCTAATGGACAATTAGATATGCTAGCAGATAGAGAGCACTCTGCATAACAATCTCTGGGTTCTAATTACCTCGCCAAATGGCGTGGTTGCTCGTGCGCCTATGGATCACTAAAGCAATAAGACAGAGCGGTGCAGATAGATTGAAGGTGAAAGGGGGCAGTTGCTGTATTAAACTTATCCTTCCCTGATAAAGGCCTGATGGATGAGGAGCTGTATGAACTTTCATACATCTGTCAAATAATGGCTCCCTTCAAGGGTTTCCTCCAGTGGCCTGAACTCACCACTGGAAGCTTTTTTTTTTATTGGAGCTTATTAAAAGCTGGGCCTTCTCTGTGGCGCCGAGGAGGTCAGAATCTGAAGCACTTCTGTTAAACTTACTTTAAAGTTGAGCGCTCTCTTCAGAAGCGACACTTGGTTTGGTGAACAACTGCAGTTTTGTGCTGCTCATTGTCTGAAGGGCCGCACAGATGCAGTACGTTCTTACAGTAAGAGATGGAGACTCAATTTTCTCCTCGAGGTTGAACAGATTTTATTCCACCTGTGAGATTTTCTGTAATTGTTTTCATGTTTAAACTCTTCTCTCGAGCCGTGTCTCAAGTGGGACAAGCAGGGTTGAGCAGTGTTTGAATTAAAGCCTGATGCAAGGTTTGAGTTTTTGAGGGTTGAGATCTGGAAAAAAAAACAAAGAAAAAAACCTCAGGGTTCCTTTTTTGTCGAATTTGAACCTAAGTACTGAGTCATGACGATCATAAAGAGATGCTTAAAGTCCTCTGATTAAACCCCGAACAACTGTGTGTTTCAACATTATGTTTAGATTTTTTTTCTATGAAAATGACCCTTTTCTGCCTTTAAATGGCTTCGATTTAACCATACCATCGCCTTCTTTAGAATATTTAGCTTCATCAAGTCCCAGAGGAAATGCATAAAACACAACGTGGCTTGAATTTTGCAGCTGATTAGATCTCACTCACTGTGAAGCCAGAACTGTGATCATTATACAGACAACTAAGCAGCTCTGCTCTCAGGTCCTGTTTTTATTTTTTATTTTTTCCATATTCCACTACACATATTCATCCCATTAAGTGGCCTGTTGGTAATTGTTAGACTTGTTGTTTAAAAAAATAAAATAAAATAAAAAACATTTTTTGCTGCTGATGGATCTCAAATAATTCAAAGTTAATATCCACTTGATATTTTAAAAAAAAAAAGGTAGTAAGTGGAAGTGAAATTTAATTATTTTGTCAGAGATACTAACAGGTAACAACCTCATTAACATTGAATACTTACTTTTTTCTATTATACCACAAGCTATTATGCATCTTTTTCAGGGGCAAGTTTCTTGTTTCAAAAGCAGGTTTTTAATTTTTAGAGCTTTTTATGCAACATACGGACATTTTTCTGTTTTAAATATATTGTGTGCAACAAATACTTGTCAGGAGATTGAACAGGTCTGTGTCCTAGTGGATAAAACCACTTCATTTTGCCTTATTTCGCTCTTTTCAAGCTAAAGTTTCGTTGCTATTTTGAGCTGAGTGGGGACTAAAGGCTTCTCTGTGCACCGCCGCCTTGTAGTGAATAAATATGAGCTGTTAAATGAGCATGTGTGAATTGTAGCAACTACCGAAAACCTGCTTTTGAGGTGTTTAAGGACCATCTGCAAAAAGAAATAGCGTTTCTGCACATCGGTCACGCTGCACCACCTACTACCTCAAACACCTTCTCAACATGTGGGGAAAAATATTATAAAAACTGCCAACATTATGCATTTTATTGCATTTATTGCAAAGGGTGCATCCTAAGGACGTCTGGGAACAGTGCTTTGGCTGTCCGAGCATCGGTGCTCTGAGCTGAAACTATAAAAAAAAGCACAACGTCTGCCAGAAACTTGTCCTGTGCTGTTAACAAGTGCAGCGTTTCAGCACCAGGCAGCAACAAACTGAAGCAGTGAGGAGTCAGAAATGATAATAAAATATTGAGCATTGCTTATGATATAGCCAAGAAGAGCTGCCTTTTAGTATCTTTAAGTCCCAGGTCATCTTTAGGAAAAAGCGACATGTACAAAACATTTATCTGCATCTTTATTCCCATTTACGAGCATTTATATAATGTCAGAAATTCCATCTTCCTGGGCTGCAAGGTGGAGCGGTGGTTAGCACCATTGCCTCACAGCTAGAAGGTCGCCAGTGAGGACACCCGGGACCTTTCTGCGGGGAGTTTGCATGTTCTCCCCGTGCAGCGTGGGTTCTCTCCGGGTTCTCTGGCTTCCTCCCACACAGTCCAAAAACATGTTGAGGTTAATTGGGGATTCTAAATTGTCCGTAGGTGTGAATGTGAGTGTGCTTGGTTGTCTGTCTCTAAGTGTAGCCCTGTGATAGACTGGTTACCTGTCCAGGGTGTCCCCTGCCTTCACCCTAAGTCAGCTGGGATAGACTCCAGCCCCCCACGACCCTAGTGAGGATTAAGCGGTGTATAGATGATGGATGGATGTATGGATCATCTTCCTTCTGCTCGGCCATCTCTAATTTGCTTAAAACTTTTTCAACATACAACTATGTCCATATTTAAAATGGTATCTGTGAAATTTTGCCGTGATGTATTCAATACTTTCCAGATAGAATTTTCCGGGAAAATTTTTTTTAAAAAAATGCTCTTCCTGTTTTCTGAGTGTTGATGTTTGAGGCTATGTCTGGATGACGATAATCATCATGCCATTGATTCAGAATCTGGAATATTGGACAAGTAGATCAAATAGCCTCTGATTACGGGCGAGTTGAAATATGAAAGAAGTGTAGCTTTCATGAGAAGTCTCATCTTCCAAGAAAAAAAAAGCTAATGCAGAAGTCAATTAGTGATATTTACTGAACCACATGTAGCTGCATGTCACAATAACACAGAACAAACATCAAACAATTTGCAATTGTACCACAAAACCAAAAAATATATTTTCAGCTTCACTGTTTTTCACATTTCTATTTGATCTACGTGTCCAATATTCCAGATTCTGAATCAATAACATGCTGAGAAATAACAACGACAATTTCAGGCTTTTATCTTTAATCGTACCTGAGATGTTGTCGTTCAAACAGTTTCAGCGCCCAAAATAAAATGTGCCAAAAATGGGTCGACGTGCAGTTTTTGGAGAAATTACATCTCGAAAAGTAATACATATGTTAGTGTTAAATTTCATAAATCTCTTTATACATATCCATAGCAAATGATAAATAATTTTCAGGCAAATTGGAGATGGCTGAGCAGAAATTGTTCGAAAAATTGGATGATTTCAGATGGAAAGACCTTTTATTCAGATAAAAACGTAAAAAACTAAAAAGACGTGGATCTAAATGTGCAAGACCAGTGCAACAAATGATATGATAGTAAATGTGTAGTGCCCAGTATTCCTTTGTAATTAGTTTATTGCTGTCTTGTATTCTGTTTAAAAAAGTGGTTTTACTAACATTCCTCCCTTTACTTCCCCCCTCTGCCCTCTCTCTCACCTTACAGGTAATGAGCTACTGTACCGTAATCGGGACGGCGACGTCGTCAAGTTCAACGTCGACACGAATGAGCAGACCGTCCTGGTGCATAACAAGAAATTTGTAAGTCCTTCGTCATCTCTCCTTCTATTCTTCTCTCTTACAATCAAGGCGCTGAAGGACTGACCATGGCTGCCCATGAATTAAATTAAAACTTTTCTTATAGTGTCAGCAAATCAAAGCACCCAAAGCTCCTTTTTTTTTTTTTTATTACAAAGCTTAATCAAATGATCCGTTATTACTGAAATGTGAACTGCATATTTAACACTTTTTTTTGGGTGGAGGGGTGAACGTCAGGATGGAGATGTAGGCTCGGGTGACGACACACAACATTATGTCTGCCATCAAAACCGCTCTGATTAATGCGACTCTCATTTGCTTTGGGAGCCGAAGCAATCTGTCAAACGCAGGCATTTAAGGACTGCTTTAATGAAAAAACACCACGCATGGTTAGAGGTCTCATCTTTTTGTCCTTCTTCTTTTTTTTCTTGCTTTTGATTCTCAGGAAATGTACAAAGCCAGCAAGTACGAGGTGTCTCCTGACATGAAGCATGTGCTGCTGGCCTACAACGTTGCACCGGTGAGCTTCTCATTTGTTTGCTTGTTTTTTGAATTAGCAAACTGACAGCCGAATATGTCAGACGCCTCTGCTGAGAGGAGGAGGGGAAGGAAAGAGAGGAAGGAGGGAGGAGAAAGTAATCATGGCGGGGTGTGAAGGCCTGTCGCACACCGCTGCCTGTCAGCGACGGTGGCGGGGGCTAGCACAGCCGAGCGGAACTGTAGCGAGGGAGGCAAGAAACACAAACAAACCCCCGTCGGCGCTGCACATTCTCGCAAGGGTGGGAGGCGAGAACAGGAAGGGTGGGAATTTATCATTTCTGTGGCAAAAAAACAAAAAAAACTAAGTGCCCCCACGACTGCATCGGTCTCCGCCGGCGACCACGATACGCATCAGGGCAGTTCAGCTCCTCGATGCAGGCGGATCAAACACGTCTCATGATTTTGGGCTGTGCTGATATTTGTGTGTTTACTTCATTCTGCCTCTGCCACTGAGTCACCGCGGAGAGAATCTGCTCCCATTGTTAGCGCGTGAAGGATGCTGGCAGATATATAACCTCGTGTTATTGCCTGAGATGAATAGGAAATATTACGACACACCGGAGTGTGCTGGGCTGCATGTGTTTGCATTTATTATCCATCCCAACCTCCATCACCTTGATAGATGACAGTCATTGCTCCTGTACGCTGCGCTGTAGCAGCACGCGGCGGCAACACTCACAAACGCGCACTTCATCTCTATAACGCGCGGCGAGGATCAGATGTTTATATTAAACACTGTTTGCATAATGACGTGGACGAGGCAGCCTCCTTTGAATGCGAATGTTCCTCCAGTGGGCAGTGACTTTATGGCGTTCCGGCACTGTTCATAAAAAGACAGAACGTTTTAACAGCGTTTTGCACTTGAGCTCCTCCTAAATAGTTCAGGTTTTGAAGATAACAGGTGAATGAGGGAGATTAACACTATAAACACCAAAACTGGTTGGTGGGTTTCAACAATATTTTGTCTCTTGTTGTAAAATCTGTTATATTGCACCATTTATTCTAGCTAGAGACTGTAAAACCTGAAAAGAAATCCTCAAATTGTTCACTTGAACTGCTCGTCTACATGTTGCCACCTTTTTGGAAAAGCAAGTCTAAGCTTAAACTTGTGATTTTTATCAAAAACGTGTCTCTCATTTAAAAATCGATCAAAAATAAATAATTTACTCCAACCAGATTATATAAAAAACAAAAAATTCAGTGCTCTTCTGTGCAACTGTGGCAGCGATACATGTAACATACTACAAAATATTTAAAAAATAAATAAATAAAACTGTAAATAAGTGGAAAGAAGACTTGAATTTTTTTCATTATAACATACAAACTAGTTATATATTGAACGTCTTTACCTAAAAAGCCACCAGTGGGTTTAAAAGGCATGTTTTTGGTTGTTTGTCTGCTTGTTTTTTGTTTGAAGAATCACCAAAGTTCCACCATTTACCACAGTTTCATTTGTTCTTGAACCACTCATCTGTAATGTACCATTTCATCATCAAAATTATCCAAAACTGAGCTTATATTTGCAATATTTCATCAAATTTGCACCAGATTCTGTGAAAAATGTATTAAAATAAATTATAATCGCAACCAAACAACGACCCCAACAGTCATGTGGCAAAAATTCAGAGACATTTGGGCTAAACTGTCTGTTAAAGCAGTAAAATATCTATATTATGTAGAGCCGCTAATCTCTTCTGGTATTGGTGACATCTATAGGCTCTCGGAAAACTCTTGATTCCAGTTTCTTTCAATTTTTGTCAAATAAATGACCAACGAAATTCTTTTTTACGATTCACGGCGTTATAAATTTATTATACTGCCCAGATGACATTTCTGAGTTTGCTCTACTTCTAGCCGTGGTTGTGCTGTTTGTGCAGGACTTTATATTGCCGTGAAAAATGAGCTCACAAATGTGACAGGAGTAAAAAAACAAAATGCCCAGAAACAGTTTGGGGTTCAGCGGCTTAATGTGCAGTCTTGTATAGTGTGGAGCCAGAATAACACGAAACTCCTTCTGCACTCAGCTCAGTCATGGCTCCACTGTTGCTTTAACGCATCTATTCTTCAGCATTTATAAGAAAGTTTTGATTTGTTATTATATTTTTGGGGAGGGTTTGCAAGCAGAAAAACTTTCCCATTCGTTTAGATCTGTGTATCTGAAATCACAGCTGTCATTAATCTGTACGTCGCTTTGTTTGGTCCGTCCGTATCTGCAGCGCGGCAGCTTGGTAATGACTGCTGGTCAACATATTCATGAGCCGCCATCAGATTTCACACTGCTACTGTTGTCTGACAACAAACACGGACCAAAAGAACAAAACAACTAAAAAAAAAAAAACAAAACACTAAATTGTGAATTTGAACGCTGGCTGTAAGCCATCCTCACTTTGTGGCAAGTCTGAGAAATCCAAAGCAGCTTCTGGTTAAACACAACAGAGCTAAACATGCTGATAACACCGCCTTCAGTTTTTACTGCCCTCTCTGGACCTTCAAGCAGAATCACGAAGAGGTGTCATTGTGTCCAGTAGCAGCAAGATGAGACATTGAACCAGGAGATGTCCAGTTACTCTGTTTGCTTTGATATGAAGAGGACTGTGAATGGACCAGGACCATCTATGCTTATATTCATTCCCAACTTGTCATACAGTCACTTTTCCTCGACCCCCTGCCGTTTTCATCGCTCAGGGTAGTCGGATCGACCCGTAACAACCTGTCAGGAACATGGCCGTGATACCGCCGCCGAACGTTTTCATCTGGCGTCGTCACCGTCGGTTCTTTTAGGCCAACAAAAAGCTAGCCTTGTAACGCGCGGTTAATGCTGTGAAAGGGTGCATTTTAATTGAAACCTTGATTTTCACCAAAGAGAAATGTGAAAGCGAAGCCGCTAAAAGAAAGTGAAAAAGCGAGTCTGTCAAACAGAGCTCAGTCTCCTGGATAGAAATGATGTGACTTATATCACCAACTACTCTCCAACGTCTTAATGTTGGTCTTTAAAACTGGAAAAACTTCTCCTACTCGTCAATCGACCAAATGTATGTCTGAGAATTTGACTAAAAAACAGCTTTTGATGCCCTGAGAATGAGAAAGCGTTGGATGTTAGTCTGCTTCTGCTTAGATTTTATGATATAGCTGAAAATGTTTCCGTAAAAGTCTAACTTCCTGCCTTGTTAACATGTCTTTAGGGTGTTTTTTTTTATAAACTAGAAGCGAATCTCAACTCAATCTCAACTCAAAAACATGAATTCACACTTCCAGGGTGTCATATGTAAGAAACCAATTATTCCCGAATTAGCCTCCAGTTTGAACATGTATGGCTAAATTTAATTTTACAACTTGCCAGCGTAGTTTTACAGTGTTGGAGGTGAGCTGGTGAGCTGGTGTGCCTGGGCTGCAGTGTAGAGTTATATCTAAGCCATTTTAAGATATGACAGGATAGTGTTTGTGGCAAAAACTTGACCTGAGATTGACTTTATGTTATTCACTTTTAACCTCCACTGTCGATTTGTAATGCTGTTTATGCATTCAGTATTTTCCACAAACACGCTTGTATCTGATGTAATCTCACCAGACTTCATGAATATGGATGTATTCAGTGATTCTAGGAAGCAGCAGAACAAAGAAGTATGTCAAGGTCAAACTGAAGGGGTTGTATGTAATTCCTATCCTGCGTCTTCTTCCAGGTGTACCAGCATTCCTACACGGCCTTCTACATCATCTGCAGCCTGGAAACCCCGTAAGTAGGCGCCAGAGCTGCGCCGCTCCGTATACATCGTATTTCATTATGTTATCCCCGAGTATCTCGCCTGACCTCACCGCCCGTGACTGCGAACGAAGCTCATTTACACCTGTTCTCACAACAGCCTCCCACAAAGCACCTCTGACCTCCGCCACATTGTTTTGCCTCCAAACCTCCCTGAATACTATCTGTGAGGTGATGGGTGGAGGGGGTATCTGGCAATCTGCGGCCTCGAATCGCAGCCAGAAGTTGCCACAACGCGTGCAGATCTTATCCTCTCGGTTTACCTTGTAGCAACAGACCTCTAATAAGTGTAAATGAGATGCTCGACTGCAAGAGATGAGATTAGTACTTGTGGAAATGTGCTGCGGGTTTTCTAATAATACTGCTTGAGAATGAGCCTTTTTTTTTTTTAAATGTCACTTGTCCTTCAGTGCTGTTAAAAATGCCCCGAGAAGGAAACAAGATGAGTGGAGCGTTGCGGATTTGCATTTCCACCTGTCTGATCTTCATTTCTTTGCAATAAAAAAACAACATATAAAGGAGCAGCTGTGCCCACAACAGAAAAACCACGACACGCGTTTTGGAAATAGACACCAGTTAATCAGGTGCCGCGGCATCCGGCTAAAACACCTCAGCAGCCGAGACGTATTAAGGGCATTTTGTGCTATAACTATCCACCTTACTTATTTCCCTTTTAAATTAGTTCCACATCAGGTCACAGTAGGACAGAGCTGTCAGCGGCTCTCCTGCTCAAATCTATTTACGTGCTGCCACCCAGTGGCGACGTGCCGACCAGCACCTCGGCTGATGACCTCATTCATCCTGAGCTCCAGACAAAGACGTAGAGGCAGTGGCACCTCTAATTCTGCAGCCTGCACTGCACAGCACTTTTCCCCCCATAAGGAGAGGTGACACTGTTATAGAGCGCCGGTATTTATGGATACACTTAAACCTTTGTTCTCAGATGTTCTACACTTGTTCCTGTGCTGCTGCAGGACCAGACAGTGATTGTGTTTATGTGTCTTCACTTCTATCTGATAGCGTTTTGTTTTTTGTGTGCATCTCAGGGAGACGTGGAACCTGAACCCTCCAGAAGTACGAAATGCTCAGCTCCAGTACGCAGGCTGGGGGCCGCAGGACCAGCAGCTGGTAAGAAGGCCTTCGTGATGTTTCATGTTATTATTTTTTTTTTAGCCAAGTGACATCCATCACAAAGGAATAAAACCTTGTCCTTGAAAAAGTGAATAAAACCTTCACAGACCAAACAAAGTAAGTTTTGACATGCTGTGTCCTTCGCTGCCTGTTTATAATTTTAATAGCCAAAGGAATTAATTATTTTTGAAGGTGCGCTCCGGCCAGAAGGGCTCAATAGCGGCCGCCTGATGGGAGGGGTCGAATGATTAATAAGAGCGAAGGGTCCTAATTGTGTCCTTTGTTTAAACCTGCTTTAATCGATTTTTGTGGCCACTTGGGGCACGGCCAGCTGTAAACTCAACGCTGTCAGATCGTCACCTTGTAAAGTTGAAATGGCGAGGAGTTAGCAAACATGACCTTACA